CCGGGGGGGGCCCCCCCCCCCCCCCCCCAAAGCCCTTCCCGTCCTCAGCCCTGAGGGGAGGAAAAGGGCGGGAAGCGGCGGGCGCGCGCGGGGATGGAGGCGGAGGGGGGGGGCCGTTAGCGCCCCCTCGCGCCCGCGGCGGCCGTTTGTGAGGGGCGGCGGGAGGATGGCGGGGGGCGGCGGGCGGACCCGCTGCCCCCCCGGCGCCCTCCTGGGCATGGCGGCCGTGCTGGCGGCGGTGGGATGGGGTGCGAGGGGTGGGGGTGCCGGGGAAGCGGGCAGGGTGCGGCTCGGGGCTCTGCTCTGTGTGTGTCTGTGCGTTGGGGGGGGTCACCGTAGAACCTTCCCTCAGAGCGGGCGATGAAGCCCCTTTAGAGGGGACGGGGTGGGGTCCAGCGACGCCACATCGGTGGGTCCCGCTGTGCTGTGGAGTGAACAGGTGTCCCCGTAGAACCTTCCCTCAAAGGGGCTTCATCGCCTACTGTGAGAAGGGACAAGGAGATGGAGCCCCTTTAGAGGGGACGGACACCCCACTGCCCCCAGAGCCAACCCTGGGACACAGCAATCAGGCAGGGCCGTCCCAATGTGCCCACGGCCTGAAAAACAAAACCAACAACAAACCAAACAACAAATTTCAACAATTTTCACCCCTCCTGGGGGCTCTCATCGCAGGAACCCTCGTGCCCGACACCTGTCTGGTGTTTCCCAAAAGGCAAAGACTTATAGAATCCTGAAGCCTCAGCATCTTCCATGGTCGCCCTGTGACCATCCTGTGTTTCCTCAGGGTCACCCTGAGGAGCCTTCACCTTATAGTCAGGTTTTATAACTATTTTAGTGGCTTTTCGTAAAGGGGAAGGCTCAGCTGGTCAAGAACCTGGTACAGCCAGGTCTGCAAGCTGGGCACTAAAACAACAAAAAAATGGCAAGTCAAAACCACAAGCTCCTGTTTGTTGCTAAGAAAAAAGTATAGGGGAAAAGGAAAAGTAAGACAAAAGAGACAAAATCCCTGCCAGGGTGAAAGAAATTATTAGCAATCAGACATTTAGATTGACATCTCATATTCCAATTCCTTTTCCCTACAGTGAGAGCGGAACCGAAGGAAGATCAACTTTCTATTGACTTAATTGGAAAGAATGAAGTTTATGGTGACACCAAGCATGAAGGTAAACTCGTCTTTTTTCATATACCTATTTAGTTTTTACTGGAATTTGGAGTTTTAATCACAGGGATCATTACGTAGCGTCAGTGGAAGTGACACAACCTCATATGCACAGTAACAAGGGGATGGGGATGGAAATATATTTGTCCCACAGAGCTGCTAGAAGCATAGGTGAAAATTTAACATCTAAATGAAAATTTAGCATCTAAATTAGCATATTTCTCAAAAATTTCGTGCTTTTTGTGCCCCTGGACCACAGTTTGTGTGTGGGACATAAGTGACTCCTCTGCACAGTCAGCACCAGCCACACTGTGGACAGTTCCAGGATATTAATTAAGAACAAATGGAGATTAAAGATTAATCTTGCGCTTTTCAAGTCCAAACGGGGAAAATAAGCTTTAAAGACATTTTTTAAATCAGTGTTTTGGTGATTTTGTTCAATATCAGCATTTCACACCATTTACCTGGTTCTGTATTGCAGTGAACGTGTACGTTAAGGTGTTCACAAACAGCCCGTTTCTGGTCTGTATGGATTTGGCCCTTTCCCAAGAAAAAATAATAGATCCCAGGTACTTGTGGATTGGTCCAGATGGAAGACATTTAGAAGGTCAGTCCCTTTGTTCAGACTAAAAAAAAAAAAAAAAATAAAAAAAATCATGTATTATCCTTGTTTCTATTCACACCACCCTGCAACAGGAGGTGGGTCCAAGTACTCCCTTGGCCCTTTGCCAGATTTCTTTACACCTCTGACATTAAATTCTGTTTCTCTGCTCCCTCTAAAGATTATAAATGCTTGAGATTAAAAAAAACCCTTGCAGTAAATCCTAAAAGTCATAAATTTTAGATCACTTCAGGCTAACACGAATCGATGTCATTATGTACAAGAACAAGATCTCAGCTTCAAATGTTCTAAATGCATTGGAAAGTGAACTTTCCCAGTAATCTAATATTTCTGTTTTAGGGCAAAAATATGCAAATGTGACAGAGACAGGGAAGCTGATGGTGATGGGATTCAGGGAGTCGATGTCTGGCACCTACACTTGCACTCTGTCCCACAAAATCATTGAAACCACAACACAGGAAGAAACAGAAGTTGTTCAGGCCTATAAATTCATGGTTTATGGTAAGTTTCCTAAGTCAGCAGTAAGCACGTGGCCTTGTGCTGGTGGGTTTGTGAAGTGCATGTTTATTGTAAGGCTTGATTAAAAAAAACAAAACAAAACAAACAAAAAAAACCCCAAAATAATTAAATTTTATCCCAGAAGAGAAAATAAAATTTTTATACTTATGCCCACACACACCCTCTCACAGTTTTGGAAAAAGCTTAAAATTACTGCTACCAAGAATCCATGGAAATAAAATAGTCTCTACTCTTAATAAGAACAGAATTAACTACAAGATTTCCAGGGTTATCCAAGATCTGGAAAGGAAGCTCAGGTCTCCCATGGGAGAGATCACCAAACTGATGTGGAATCACCTCTCTGCCCCCCTGCTCGAGCTGCACTCCAGCCTCCTCCCACCACTTGTAACCACTGCTCACCAACATCACCTCCCCACCCTCGGCACAACAACCCAAAAACGCTGGAGAAACAACCGATCACACCCAGAGTTCACCCCCCAAACGTCTCCTCCCAGCCTACAGGGAAGCAGACCACGCCTACCAGGTGTTTGTTCGCTTCACCACCATGCACTGCCAGCTGAAGAACAACGGCCTGTTCTTCGAGACCTTGAAGAAGATCCTCAACGGCACCATCGCCCACCTGACCTGTCACATCACGGAGTCGTCCTACAAGTGCCACTCCATCAGGACACCAAAGCACGGCCTCCAGCACGAGCTCTTTGTTAATTTTCAAGGTGACCGATCTCGCCGCTTGTTTGGGAGGGATCCTTTGCTTTTATAAACAACCCGCGGGTACTACAAACAACATGTGAAAGGCAGCAGTCAGGAACACCTCTCAAAGTTATTTCCTCTCTGTTTTGTTTTGGGGTTTTTTTTTTGGAGTGCCTGTATTTTTTTCCGTTACCCACAGATGGAGCTAAAACGCAGTTTTTATGTTAAATTTGTAGGGTTGTACTTACAGACTTAGCAAGAAGGGCTATTTCCGAGGTGTGCAGCTGGAGAGGACTCTTGGAAGGAGACAGCCGTGCTTTTTTCACTAAAGTTATTCTAAAGTGGTCATATTTGGTTTTCATTATTTGACTTTTAGTAAGTCTGGGACAACTAGGAGTTAAAGCAAGAGCCTCACAGCTCCCTCTTGGCAATACAGAGGTGGTTTAAGTCAAGAAACTTTCATAAGAGGCTGGGGACCCAAAGATTTTAAGTTTACATAAAAATTCAGCCCTTTCTGGGCTTAGTTCCATTTTCTCATCTTAGCATATTCCCCCCACCACCAGTTTTGTATTTTTTGACCTCTGACTCTTCCTGGAACAAAGCAAGGAATTGGGTAGAAACCACCAGGACCTAATCTAGCTTTTCCCCTTTTTACATGTGTTTTTTTTCCCCTCCATCCACAGTTGATCCGTTTGCACCAGGATGGGAAGAAGTTTGCCACAAGCTTCCTTACGACTGTGAAGACGTGACGAACATGAGAGCCCAGCAGGTTCTGTGTCAGTCACCTCATGTCTTCTCTGCCTCTCTAACACCCACCTCTGCCTCAGCTCCTGCAGATGTGACTGGTAGTAACCCAGCTTCACCCAGGTTCCATGGGATTAGGATTATAAATGACAATTCATGGGTTTCAAACAACTCAGTTCAGAGAGGAAAATGGGTTTAAAAGTCAAATTGATACAAATTGTTAAAGAACCAGTTTTGAAAAAAAACACCTCATTATTTCCTTTGTATTTACTCCTGATAAAGAAGACAGACTCTATGATTTATAATATATTGAATATCCAGTTCTCTAAACTCAATCTTAAATTGCATTTCATTGACCAAATAATAAATTAAAAGTAAGTCTACCGTAGCCAACTGCTAAAATTGGTTCTCTCTGGCTTGTAAATATTAAATCCTGGGATCAGCTCACATCCTGGGTCTGATTCCAGGCCTCTGGAAGGCTCCCAGTTAAGGTGACAAGTCAGTGGGTGGGAATCAGGACTACAAAGCACTTACTGACATCTCTAAATCAACACCAAACAACGGGCTGTGTTCTTACTCTCCCAATGTTCCCGAATTTTAGGCAGCCGAGCGGATTGGGAAGTTTTTCCACCAGCTGAGGTACATTCTGGAGCACGAGGCTGAGGCTGTGCCTACAATCCAGTACGTGGAGAACAGCTTCTCCATGACTCCCATCGACAGCTGCCGGCCAGGTTTTGGGAAGAACCATCACACCCACCAGAACTGCGCCAGCTGCTGCGGTAAACACCAAACACTGCGGGGTAAAAATAGCTCCTCCACTGAAACAGAGCTCATTAGTGCTGGTCACAGAGCTCCGGGGAGGAGCTGGGAAATATTGGGGTCAAAAACAAGGATATTTCTGTTCATCCTTTGGGAAGACACTCACATTATAGATTCAGGATAACGATAGGGACAGGAAACGAGCTCACAGGTGTAACTGCATTTACCAGCAAAGGAGAAGCAGTGAAGTGGAGTTTTCCCCTCTCCAGGTCACTGGTGAGTGACTATCCTCAGGATCCAGAGCACATAAGAAACAATCTCCTTTAGGGAGTAGAAAACTCCCTGCTGTTTTCTAAAGCTCTTTTGCAGCACCTGCTGCAGGTTAAGTTGAGGGGGGATTT